CACTCTGCAACTCCATCACCAGCCCACAGTTCACCAAATGACTGCTCGGGGCTCAGGGCATCCAGTTATGTGACTCGAGAGCCTCATCTGCAATCACCATTAACCAGAAAAGCCCCATGACTGCTCTGTGCCCGCAAGAGTGGAGTGTCTACGATAGTCACAGAAACGAAAGGGGTGGGAGAGGGGGCCAGGGAAGCCTGGAGAAGAAGGCTCCTGGAGGGAGCACCACGTGATCTGGGCCCTCCCTCTCCTCTCCAGCCCCTGGAAGCTGCTAATGAGCCGTGAAGAGGCTCCAGGCGGGGCAGCAAGAGGTGGTGGTGACATTTCCCGAGGACTGGGAATGGGACCCTCAGAGGTGGCTGTGTCAATAAGATCTGCATAACCCACACGGTCGCTACTAAAGGTCTTGTTGGGAACTTTGACGGCTTTAATTCAGACCAAACATTCCAAAAGCCACCGCTAAATCTCTAAAAACCATGCTCAGGTCTTTAGCCGTCACGGAGCTGCCTGCTGTGCTGTGTCAGGAAGAGTGAGTGAAAGCCCCAGGATGCACTGGGCTGCCAAAGATTGTCCCATCCCCGTAGGGGCAGGGGCGGTGTTTAGCCTTGCACACTTCTCTGCTGGGCTCCCTCCTTTGATTACCCCCTGCTTCCTCCAAGCACCCCCCACCGCCTCTCCCATCACTCAGTACACTTCATCCACACAGGTGGTCTCAGAATGAAAGGCACCTGGATGCTTCAAGTCATGGTACTAAAATGCCCTACTTGGATTTGGTACCTATCAAGCACTTACAGCCATTATTGTCCCATATGCTGCTCCCACCACAGTGTGTGTGTGTGTGTGTGTGTGTGTGTGTGTGTGTGTGTGTGTGTGTGTGTGNGTGTGTGTGTGTGTGTGTGTGTGTGTGTGTGTGTGTGTGTGTGTGTGTGTGTGAGTGTGTACCCAAGGTTAACTGGTTACCATAGAGAAGAGCTCTGGGAAGCCTGGATGGAAGCAGGAAGAACCTCCCAGGAAAGGTGGGGAGGTTACACCATCAGGCCCGGGTGCTGGGGAGGGCACTGTGGGTCTCAGCGATTAGCAGGGGCCTTTCGGAAGTCTGCTGGAAAGCGCTTTGCTGGTTTTCTTTCAGAAAGTGGTTTATCAAGGACTGTGGGTAAGAGGAGGAAGTGACCCAGCCAGCCTCAGCTCGGCTTCTGTCTGCTTGGTAGGCACTGAGGACTGACCCAGAGGGGCTCTGGCGGCCACTGCTGACCCCTCCCTGGAGAGGCCTGGGTGCAGGATCTGGCCAGCCCACCCCCGAAAAGGCACCCCTGGACATGGGGCTGAAGAAGGAAAGGGTGTTATATAGAAACAGCTAGCTTGGATGGGAGCGGAGCTGGGAGAGAGGCTTTTTGGGTTTGGAAACAAGCAGAGGAGAGGAGGGGAAGGGAGTGCTGAGTCCAGACCAGGAGCCGTCCTCGCCTCGCCTCATGGGGGCCAGCCTGAGGCCCACAGGCCACATTTCAGTCGCCTCTGCACCTGAAGAGCAGAGGGCGGCCGTCCAGGAACACTGCCTCCTTAGTGGTCACTTTCATGGTTTGGGAAGAAGGGGGGGACAGTGTTTGTGCAAGGAGCCATTCCCACAGGCAGAGACAGACAGGCACAGGGAAACAGAGTGTCGTTTGCACTCCAGATGTAGCTGTGCGAGGGGCCTTTCTCTGCCTCGGACCTGTTTAAAGCAAAGGTCTCTAGGTTCCAGGCCATCTACACTGAACAGCCCTTTTAATTAAGGTGGGATTGAGGGGTGCAATGGCTTGAACTGGGGTGTCTGTATTGCCGGGAAGGCTGGTGTATTTAGAAGGAATAGCATCAGCTTTGGAGCAATCCCAGGTCACTGAGTAATGGCCATAATCAGGCTGAGAATGGAGGTGACCTATAGAAGCACGGTAAACACACGATTTTCTCTGCTCAGTCAGTGAATTTTGATTGTAACTCAGCACTTGCCTCGGGTCCTAATGGGTTGTTGGAAAAGTCATGAAGCATTTTTTCTATGTTTTTCATTGCAAAAATGCGTCATGACTTTTCCGACAACCCAATAGACAGACTACTGTCAGCATTCTCAGGAAAGCTCAGGAAAGGGCAAAGTGCAGAAACTCCCCCACAGGAAAACGCAGACTGCCCAGCCCTCTTTGCAGCTACAGCCACCCAGAAAACTGAAGGCGAGGTTGCAGCCTCTCTGTCCTCGGTCACCGCTTCGTGTCCCAGCTTGTCACACAAAGTGAGGGAAGCACCACAGATCAATAGCTATTCTGGGTAAACACAGCCACAGCGCTTTATTTTTCTTTAAAAGAAGAGTTTTCCCCGTGTGATCACAGTTTATTATATCCGAGGCATATTTCTGTGGTCTGTCTATGGAAATTAATCCTTAGAAGGAGCGCTTTGTCTTCAGGTTTTACCCACTTTTTAGTATAAGCGACAGGGGCAGCATTGCTCTTACAGGATTGCTCCTTTAACATCTCTGCAAGTGACTGTTAGCCACCAGGTTCAAGAAGCAGGTAAAGCTACCTGATGGGCCACCTGGACCGTGGGTGAGCACGTGGTGCTTCTGGAGACCCCACGGAGGCAAACTCTGAGTCCTGAGTGCCCTGCCATCCCCCCCTTACATTAGCAGCGTTCAACTTGTTTTGTTTACCTGTGGTGATGCTTATCTGAGCAAAATCTCTGAAGTGGTTTTATTTTATGGGAAATGAAAAGCCAAATGAGAATGCATTTGAAAGAGTGAGCCATGGAAAATAGCCTCTCAAAGCACATGTCACCTATTTTTATGTTACTGCGTATGTGGTTTCTAAGTTGGCCGAAGGCTTTAAGTGACAACCTTCGAAGCTCCTAATGGACCCCAACGTATTATGTGCAATAACATAATGTTTTTTGGGGGGAGGAGAGTGTTATAAAGCATGTCCACCTCTAGTATATCTTTTCAGCCTCACAGAGCCATGGGTGAGGCAAAATAGGTGTTCATAGGTTCGTTTTGAAGATGAGGAAGGAAAGACTCAGAGAGGTTGAGTCTTCTGAGGTCACACAGCTGGTCAGACATGATTCCCCTGACTCTGGACCCCTGGGTCCAAGCAGGACTACTTGTCAATATCCAGGCACACATCACTGAAAAACGTTCACAGGTGCACTTCCCCGCACACCACATCAAGATCTCAGCACCCGCTCTTTCTCCATCATGAGCAGCAGCCAATGAACCAAATAAATTCAAACTCGGGAAATGCTAAATCTCATGAACAATTTTTAAAAGCATTGAAATGCAAAACAGGAGTAAACAAAATTTCTTGCCATAGGGAGCTAACTAATGTGAAGTGACAAAATAATGGGAGTTTGAATGTGGTCTCAAAAGTGGCCATGAAATGGAATTCAGAATCGTATTTTAGTATGTAGACCATACACTTGCTTTGCCAAGGATGTCTGGTGGTGAATTCTCATTTATAAAACTAAGCCATGAATGGAAAAAGAAATAGCCAGAGGAGGGGGCAGGACCACAGCGACACAGGGGGGACGGCTGTGTGAGAGGGCGTTAGTCACAGCCCGGGCACCGCCTTTCAGGTGGGTGTGCCACAGCACTTCCACAGCAGCCCCTCACACCCTCCACCCAGCACTGGCCTTGGCATATGGCCCCAGGGGCTCCAGGCCGCGGTTCCTCCTAGAGACTTCCAGGAATTGGGGGGGGGCAGGGGGTGGTTGGAGGCACCCAGCAGCGCTGACCTGCAGTGCTGGGGCTGAGGCCAGAGTCTGACTGCTGGTAGGAATTCATAAAGTGAGAAGCAACAAGCGCCAGGCTTCCAGGCCCGGGCAGAGCAGCGATTAGCATGACTGATCTATCTTCAGAGATCATTCCAGCGCTCTCCCTGCAGACATGCCCTCCCCCTGCCCCTTGACTCTGGGTGGGGTGAGGCTAGGGAAGCAACTCCCAGGGAGCCCACCGTTTATATTAGCACAGAGCCGTGATGGCTCAGAGCGTCACATCTGGGGACAGGCCAGCTGCGCCCCCCCCTCCGCGCCCCCCACCCCCACACGGCTTCACTGCCTTCCGCTCCTCCCCGCCCCCCTTGCCTGCGGCCTCTTCCTTCATTTCCCCATCAGACTTGGCTGGGATGAGGTGCGGTCCTCCCGGATCCCATATTTTGGCTGCGCATTGAAAGGGCATTGACCTAAAGGCACAAATGCAGAGGCAGCGGCGCCAGACGCACAGCCCAGCGGTCGCGGGCAACAAGGCACCCGCAGCCGCCTGGGGTGATTCAGGCGGCAGCTCGGAGCCCGGTTCATTATTACACAATCGAAGCAAGCTGCCTCCTCCCGTCCGCAGTGCAAGGGGCGCATCTAGCTCCAGGAAGCCGAAAACACAAACTCCTAATGTTCATATTCTCTCCCTCCCTCCCTCCCTCCCTCCCTCCCTCTCTCTCTCTC